GGGCTGACTCGACGGCACATAACAACAACAACAACAACAATCACTAGAGAAGAAGATTGCCCAACCTTCCTTCCAAGGAGTAGCTGGTGGGTTTGAACTGTCAGCCTTCCTGTTAGCAGTCAGGTGCCTTAGGCACTACGCCACTAGAGCTCCTAAAATAAGCATTAAAAAAACCAAGCAAACTCAGTACGGTGGATTCAAATCCAACTCATAGCGACCCCTCGTTGGGTTTCCATGGTATCACTCTGGAAGTAGATTGCCCAATCTTCCTTCCCAGGAGTAGGTGGTGGGTTAGAACTGCCAGCCTTCTGTTCAGCAGTCAAATGGCTTAGGTACTGCACTACCAGCGTTCCCAAAATAAACATACACGGTAGAATTTGGCTTGGTGTGTATGTATGAAGATCATGATGGAATTCTACTAGTGCTTTGCATTTTCTCTTTTTGGTGTTTCTCTTAAAAAATATATTCTGAATAATACTGTAGACAGTAGAATGGAAGATACCTAAAATGGGGTCAGAAGAAGTACTTGCCATTCTACCTAAAACTTGTGCAACCTTGTGCACAAATCTCTTAACAAATTTAATTACTTAATTTGTAAGTTGTGGATGAGGAAATTGCAATTCCTAATTCATAGGGTTATTGATAGGAGTAAATGAGAGATTTAATATATATTCTCATTAATATTAAAATTAGCGTGGGAAAATGTTTTGAAACTTAGAAGTGTACTACAGATATAGTGAGTTGTTAGATTTTGGTTCTTGTTTTTGAATCTCTGGATTTTATTCTCTAACTTGCATTTCATTACTCTTTGGTTACTTGCTACTTGATATGGTTATTATTTAACGTGCATTTCTTCTACTTGTTCAAATAGATTGCATCTTCTGAGAGTAGTGTACGTTTAGTATTTAGCATAGTACCTCAATTGTTTACAGTTACTGACTTTTATTGATGCTTGCTTTGGTAAATAACACAGCTTTTGGGTTAGCATGTTTTGTTTTAATATATTTGGATTTGACTGAAAAATTTCCTGTAAAATATTTTACCTACTAAATCAAGGACTTGTTTTTATTAGGCCTTTACAGAGCTTCAAGCCAAAGTTATTGACACTCAACAGAAGGTGAAGCTTGCAGACATACAGATTGAACAGCTAAACAGAACGAAAAAGCATGCACATCTTACAGATACAGAGATTATGACTTTGGTAGATGAGACTAACATGTATGAAGGTGTAGGAAGAATGTAAGTAAAATATATCCTTAAGGGGGTTATCTTGGTTGCCTGAATTAAATAATAGAAAATGTTCATTTTTAAACTTGGCTTAAAGTAACATAGCTTTAAAATCATCTAGTCAAATACTTTCTTTTTTTACGAATGAGAAACTGAACTCCAGATACATTTAAATGTTTAATTTTAGACTTTGAAGTACATGTCTTAAATGCGTCCCTGTTCTCTCTACAGTGGGTACTTCAGTATGTAATTTAAGAGATAAAAATATGTTTGTTATAGAAAGATGTTTAAAGTATAATTTTGTAGCTTTAACCTCATCTCTCCTACCCAATTTATAGAAATCATAAATCTTTGAGATGTCTGACCACTGTTGTAAAGTAAAAATAAAAATTAAATTGTCATTTAATACATCTTTCTTAGTGTTATGTATGTTCTAAAGGAGGACAACTTATACATGAGAACTCGAGTAACCCAATTGATCTTTTATCTGATTGTTATCATTTAACCAACCACCTACATTTCACTCTTTTTCTTTAAAAAAAAATTATTACAGTTATCAGAGGGAATAGTTTTGTTTCATATTCTCTAAGCAGTAAATAAGGAATGGAAAAGCCTTTAAGTACAGGTCACATTCCATTACAATGAGCTAAAAGAAGACTGACTTTTCTTTTTTTTTTAAGTGGGGGAGGTATGGGAGGATGGTTATTCTGGAATTTGGTATTACTTAGTAAGTGGACCATTATTTCAAGTTTGGAGATCATTAACTTGGAATGGAATTTGGCCTCAGTTTTAGGATGACTAGTTTTGTGATTGATTTGAAGGAAGCATGATGTGTAAAATTTAGTAAAGGAATGGCATCATGGGAAGTAGACCCTGCTGATGACTAGTTGATCCATTTTTTTCTGGAAAAGAAATAGATTATGATAAACTGTTCGTCTAATTTGCTTTCTCAGAATAAGCAATATACCACAAATAAATTTTCTCTCTGAAGTTCATATTTTTCATTTAAGCTCATTTTAAGAGGAGGAGCATCTCAAATTAAAAGTTTGTTACTGGGACACAAATGAATTGGGATGCAAACAAAACAGAACCCTTGAATATGTGTCCATGAGTATTAAGTGCGTTGTTGGCATTCACTACAGGATAATTTTAATGAGAATCTCTTTAGGTCTTAAAACAGAAATGCCAGCTTTTCTAGTATGCCTATTAACATGATGCTTTTGGATTTCACATCACTATACTGGCCTTTGTTTGCAGCAGCTAGAGTCCCTTTTTCCAAAATAGAAAAATTGTTTCACTATCTTTGGCCTTTTGAACTAAAAAAATTGTAATTAGAATAATTTACTAAGCAGTTCTGCAGAAGTGATAGGAGAGTTGCTTTTCTTACATATCGCCCACAGTGCTACAGATAGGTTGTATGCCACACAGAGAATTCAAAGTGAAAAGTCTGGGCTATGAATTAGTTAATGGTAGAATAATATTATTTCCAGAATAATTATTTCATATGAATATGTTTCTTAAAAGAAATGTGTAGTTTTAGGTGTTTGAGTAAAGTGAGATTCCTACATGGTTTCAAATTTTGTTTTTAAATTAGATGTTTGTGCTTTGTACGTCTCACTGGCAGTATGAGTTTGACCCCTGCATTGTAGGGGCATGTAAGGTGAATAGCATTTGTTGTTTGGCTAGAGTATTAGTGCCCCGGGAGGAAGAAAAGACTTGCTGAGTATTAGTCTGGTCATGAGGATGTTCTCTTTCTTGATGCTAAACCTGAAATACCTATTTCTGAATTTATAGCCTTGAGTAATCTTGGATTCACTGTGATCCACTTCTTTAATTCCAGTCTTTAATTTGTCCTGTCTTCTCTTTTTTGAATGTTTTAATCTGGGAATTCTGAATGGAATGTTAGTTTTTCTCCAACTTTTGTTTTAAAGCCACAGATTATAAAAATCCCAAATCACCCATTTGTGTTTTAGAACCTGTAGTAGATTTTTGCCATTGCCCTAAATCAGACCTCATGGTATCTTGTCTAGACTATTGCAGTCTTGCCTTCTTTCTCCTCACACATCTGCCAGAATTGATAGCATCGATATTCTTCATAAAATCCTTTGTTGAGCTCTGCTGTCTACTGGGTAACAATCTAAACTTCTTCACTTGGCATTCATGGCCGTTCATAATCTATCCTTAATTTACCCTTCTAAACTTGAATCCCACCACTTTCTGTTCCCAGACTCAGGATGCTACTTAGTTTCATCTCCTGGACCAACCTTCTGTTGGTTTTGTGCTATGTTTTGAGAAGGATTCTGAGGCCTCATTTAGGCTTTAAACATGCTTTTAATTGATTAATTATGTCTGCCACATGAGATCCACATGGCATATACCTTAGCATAAATATACCATGGGGATACATTTCTCTATACGTGCCATTTTTTTTTTTTTTTTTTTTTGTGCTTCCTTGCTTTTGCTCCTTCAGTCCTTTTTGGTCTGGAACATATTCCTCTTGTGAAATATTAATCCTTCAAGACAGCTTAGATGCTACTTCTCTGAAGATTTTTCCAGCATCAAGGCAGACTTAACTTATTTTCTTCCTTGTGCCACCAGGGGTTTTGCTACTGTAGCTAGTAGAGAACATTGAATGTGTGTGTGTCTGTGTGTGTTCTAATGGGTTGGTGATCCAACTTGGTGGTCAGTTCTGTGAGACTACAGACATATTTGTCTTAGTTTCTTCAGTTCCCAAATAATTGGCACAAAATAGCTGTTAAATGTATATAGATTTGAATTGTATCTGATTCTCTTGCCTAAGATAACTACATTTTCTTTTTGGTTCTTTAATATGTTTAGGAAGTGCCATAGACTTAAGAATTAGAGTTTATTATTTTATTTTAATATACAATTCAATCAAGTTGAAATTATAAAAGTAACATGTTTTGGCCAGAAACTGATGTCAGAGGAATTGTTTCTGACCAAAAATGTGCACTTTGGTCTAATAGGATTAATCCTTTATTAAAAATATTTAATAATTTATATTTGAATATTGGTCCATAATTTGACCAATTCTAAATGCCAGTCAGTTGCCGAGATACTCCATCAGAACTGACAATATAGAAAAACTAGCCTTTACAACTGTGCTGAGGGTAGTATAATCCTTGGAGAATAAAGGCTATTTTGTGCAGAATAATACCACTGTAATTCTCTGTGTTCTTCATTTTCACGCAAATGGGAGTCATACTTTTCTTTTTCGGGTATGTATTTAATTTATCCAAAGTCATTGCTAACTCAGATGGCTTTCAACTCAGAAGTATGGAGAAATTTGATAATGTTAATATCTCTTATACAAGGATATTTTTGGTGTAAAGCAAGTCAAGTCAAGTTGCAGGTTAAGAAATGATGAATATACTGTAAGCTCTTCATATTCATTGCACAAAGTATAGCCCATCTAGCCTTTTGGCATGTTGCCAGTACATTTTAGTTCTCTTACTTCATACTCTTTGGAGAGGCTGTTGTGTAGCCTGATACTACTACCACCAATTCCTAGTTTTGCTACTTAAGCTGTTTGTGAACTGACCTCACTATGCTGCTTTGAGAACTATGATGAAAGTTACAACTGTGGAATGATCTGTCTGAATATTTGGAAGTGTTTGTCTTTGCATCTTTCTAGCATGCAAGGAAGGAACAGACACAGATCTCAAATAATTTATGTTAAGCGGATGTTTCTCGTATCTTTTTTTTCCTTTAAACCTGAATAAGGACTACTTTATAGTGATTTGTGGGGTTCTTTTATTTTGCATAGTAGAGGATGAGTATATTTCTATTATGAGAATTATATTTGAAAGTGCACATAAATGACATTTACCTATGCTAGTGTTAGAAAGAACCATCATTTTAATATAGGCCAAAGTTATTTTTTTTAACAATAGGTATGATCCTGACCTTGCTTTGATGTTAGGCCTATTATTCTACTACCCTTTTTTGTTGGACATTACATAAATACCGTCTCTTCTTTCCAAAAGAAAAAAAATTAGCTTTTTAATTATTTTTAATAGGAGAGGAACTTGAGTAGATTAGCTTTAAGAAGAATGACCAGTGCCTTTTTAAAACTTGAACCTAACTAAAAGTAACTTTGTACTATATTTAAACTAATTTAGAGGTATGCCACCATTCTGTGGGTATTTTTTACATTTAAGGAACTAAGAATGAACAATGGTATAAATCTACCAACTAGATAAGTGTCTGGCAATGCAGAAATTGCTGTTTGGGAGCAGTGTTACTATTTCTACTTGTTGAAGTAATTTAACAGTTGATCTCTGGTGGTTGAAAGTTCCAGAAGTGTAAAACAGGTAAAAATTGAATCAGTAGTGTATTCCTGATATGTAACAAATAAAACAAGGAAAATCTAAATAGTTAAGCAATTTTTGTAACTAATTAGGGTGTAGAGATCTGAGCTCTTTATGCCAGCTTGGTTAAACTGTTCAGAATGTTCACTTTGTTGTGGTCTTAATTGTTAGTTTATATGTTGACCTATAATTTGCATCATGACATTTAGTAAAGCCAGGATGAAATATTTGCAGTTTCCCTAAGTTTAGTTATTTAGATTATTAATAGAAAGGAATATAGTCATTCTTTCTCAAATTTTGCAACCATTTTACAATTTCATGTAGCTGTAGAGTTGGTCTTCCAGTCAATTTGAGGTAATTTTAAACTTGAAAAAGTAATAATACTGTAGTTTATTCCTAAAGGATTAGGAAATAAAAATGAAAAGTCTTAGTGTTGTAAATATTGTTCATATTGTAGTAAAAATAATTAATATTGTTCCTCTCACCTGAATAGAGTTTGGATATTTTATTTAGTATTTGCTACAGGAGAAAAAAAATAAAAATGTGTAGGAGCCCCAGTGGCATAGTGAGTAAGGGACTTGACTGCTAACCAGAAGAGCAGCGGTTCAAACCCACCAGCTGCTCCGCGAGAGGAAGACTGGGTGATCTATTTCTGTAAAGATTTACAGCCTTGGAAACCAA